TAGCTCAGTGTTCAAACAGTGGATTTGGAGTACATAGATGTAACCATTCTGAGGATGCTGGTGTCATCTGTTCAGGTGAGATATATTTTTAGTCATTTTAAAAACTACTCATACAGTCTTCAAATGCGGAGGGTGAACTAGTTAAACAGGTACAAACAGAAGGTAAATAGTTTAAGTTACATCTTAGTTTGAGTACCTGTCCAACCTGAACTGCCTGCTGGTACCGTCTCATCAGTAGAACGGTCTTCTGCCACCTTTCCATGTGATGGGTAAGTGTTTCATTCTGCCTTGGGAAGACCGGTCTTCTTGGGAAGACCGGTCTTCCCAAGGTGTTTCAAGCACCACGAGGACTTGCTGTGTTCACTGCAGTTCACATTTTTCTCTAAGCTTGGTTTAATTGTTGGATGTTAAAAAGTTTGTACTTTCTTTCTTTTGTGTGGCCTTAAATAATGTTTGGCAATGTTTTACATGAAAATACTGCACATTGTAATGTAGTTATGCTATATTACAGCAGCATTAAGACATTTTAAAACACACCAACCTAATATATTAATAAGTGCACATGTTTCACGGTTTATAGTAATCAAACATACAGGATTTCACCTGAAATGACATTTGATCAATCAGTTTTTACTTTGTATCATCTATCATTTACAGTATGATACATTCAATCAATTCAGTAAGGCCTGTCTGGAGATTTTTGAAAACGTAAATCAATTAGTTTCATATGTGAGAATGACATTTTAACAGCAATTAGTATGTAAATCTACACAAAAAAAATGCCTATTTACACTTTATGTGATCAAAAATCAACAGTAGACTGTTAAAATTATAAATCTAGTCACTAGTTTCACTTATGGTTGCTTTATCATTTGACATTAAATATTTATTAAACTTTCAAGGTTCTTCACATGCTATTACATAATTAAGCCAAAATGACAATACACTGCAGTTCAAGCCTGATTAATTGTATTGCAGCATTAAATTGATGTCTTTGAGCTAAGTTCAGATTGTTTTTACATGTAAATTTCTTATATTTAATGTAAAACATGCCAAAGATGTCATGCAATTTAAAGCTGCACAAAGTATTTTAGTTTGTGAAAAATCTTTATTTTTTACCAATTGCTTCATTTTCTGCTTCAACCAAACAGAAAAAAACATTTTTTTCCTGTTTTGTTGTTATTATTTTACCTTGAAATTTTCTGATTTGTTTTACATTGTAACTTTTTATAATTCTGCTATATGTGGGCAACTAGTGATGAAGATTACAAATCCTGTATGTTGTATGCACAACGTAGCTTCTCTGTGTTTTGTTTTCAGCCACCAGATTAGCCGGTTCTGGATCGACTCGATGCTCTGGCAGAGTTGAAATCTATCACAACAACATCTGGGGAACAGTCTGTGGTGATGGCTGGGACTTAAATGATACTGAGGTGGTTTGCAGAGAGTTAAACTGTGGACCGGCACTAAAAGCTACTCAGATGGCTCACTTTGGTGCAGGAAGTGGACAGATATGGCTTGATAATGTGACCTGTTCAGGAAATGAAAGTTTGCTAACTGAGTGTCAACACAGTGGATGGGGAACAAACAACTGTGCACACGATCAGGATGCTGGTGTCATCTGTTCAGGTGAGAAATATTTTTGGTCATCAACAAGATGTCAGATACTGTAAACAAAACTTTTTTTCTTTTTTTTTTGATGCAGTGTTTACAACAGGGCTGGACTGGAACAAAAAATTGGTCCTGGCATTTTTGGTCCAGGCAGCCCATTGTGATCACTCAAAAACAAATAAAAACGCGCACATACTTTCTTCTGTCTCTTCTTTACTCTCTTGTTTGGGCTGCTTTCCCTCCTCCTGCACTACTCCACAGCTGGTGCTAACAGCAGCCTCCTGTGACTGTTTGCTGCTGTTGATGGTGCAGCAGCATCATTTCTGACAGCTAACATGTTGATTAATTTGTATCTATTTATGAGTTTCTTTTTTCTTTTCTCCGTTAGCTTTCTGCGTCACATTTTCGCCACTTCTTCTAAAATTTGTTCTATAAGGTGCATGAGTGCACAGCGAAGGTAGGAGAGGGCTTGGTTGTGTTAAGCACAGAGAAATGGCAAGTTGCCATCCTCCCACTTCACTTTCATTTGTATAACAAATTGTTGGAATCTTCACATAATTTTGAGCTTTCTCATCAAAAATGTTGATAAAGGGGCCGTTGTTTTCTGTTGTGATCTGTTCGTTAACAGAATTAAATGTTGACATCAAGAAGTAAGTGTGTCCTAATTATTTAAGAGCTGTCATTGAAAAACTCAGTCTCATCATTGTATACCTTTGTTACTGAACCACAGTGTAAGAGGACTAACATTTCCCTGTAGTTTAAAATAAATAACAGTTTTTATGAAGTGATGAAATGGTCTCACGGTGCCAGTAGATCATTTACATTTTGAAATTTTGAAATGCTACTATTAAAAAAATTATTTTAAACTGAGATGTAGTAATGCTGTATTACAGCAGTATTATGACATTTAAAAAATATAAAACCTATTATCTTAATAAGGGCACCCTTTCAAGTTTTATGTGCATTAATTACTCCAGATTTCATGTAAAATCATATCTGATCAATCAGTTTGTATTTTAAACCATCTAGCATTATCAGAATAGTACATTAGGATTTTTTGGAGGTTTTTGAAAAAGTAAATCCATTAGTTTTATATAAAAATAACATTTTAGCTGCAAAGGTTTAATGTTTTTTTGTTTTTTTTATGCAAATTAATACATAAAAAAGCATGTGATCAAAAATCAACAGTAGTTGTAATTATCTACCCAGGTACAAGTTCTACAATAGTATTTCAAATTCCTATCAAATATTGCCATTTGTGCACTGAACCTTTTACCTTCTCTATTTTGTTCTCAGGTTTTCCCATCAGATTAGTTGGCTCTGGATTGACAAAGTGCTCTGGCAGAGTTGAAATCTATCACAATAACACCTGGGGAACAGTCTGTGGTGATAACTGGGACTTAAATGATGCTCAGGTGGTTTGCAGACAGTATAACTGTTGGACAGCACTAGAAGCTCCTCAGAACGCTTACTTTGGTGAAGGAACTGGAGAAATATGGCTTGATGAAGTGACCTGTTCAGGAAATGAAAACTTTCTAACTGAGTGTCAACGCAGTGGATTTGGTGTACATGATTGTGACCATTCTAAAGACGCTAGTGTCATCTGTTCAGGTGAGATATATATATTTTTTGGTCATCCACAAGATGTCAAACACTGTAAATGAAGCATTTATTTACAACTACTCTTACAGTCTTCAAATGCAAAAGATGAATGAGTTAAACTGGTACAAAAAGAAGGTTGAGTGTTATCTGTCTGAGAATGAGAGAACTGACAACTGAAATTAAGAAGGAATTTATTATCTTACCAGCTCCGTGGGCAAATGCCCCCTCCGAAGGTGTGACACCCAGTGAGAAAATAGCAAGTTCAAAGAAGTTCTTGGTGAAAGTGAATCTGGCTGCTGTCGACTCCTCCGTGGACATGAAAGACCCAGCTGTGATGGAATCCATCATGAATTCGGTAACTTATGTTAAGAAATCTTAGTAAAGTGTCTATACTTATTTTTTAATAAAAAAAACCCCTTCCAGATGTTTTTAAAACAGTCTTGGGTAAGGAACGATCCCAGAAAAACTGCTTTATTAGCAGTTTCTGTGTCTCTTTCATGTCAAATTTCATTTAAAATGTAACAATAACAGTCTATAATTTGTGGTGTAATCATTAAATTTTCTTTTTTCTGTTGTGCAGGTCAAAAATGAGTTGGGAGGTACGACTGGTGACCTAAAAGTGAGCTGGTGGAAACCTCCAGAAAAGAAAGATATCAAAAAACAAGAGGCGTGTACTCCATAGTTCACACTGTTTGTTTCAATAGCTGGATGAAGGCGGCTTACAGCCTGTAAAACTGATGTGATTCATTTAATCTTTACTTTTCACATGATATCTGCATGTTTACTTGTGTTTTGTTGTGGTACATTTAGTTGTTAAACAAACATAATCTCTCTCGTTTGATGACTTATTTCTGTGATGATTTTCCAAAGGAGACGAGCTCAGTTGGTGTCTTCAGAGAAATATTACAGTCAATATGAAATTTAACATCTGCTTTGAATTGAGGTAAAGGAAAGTGATTTTCAAGGTAAGGAAGTTATATTTCCCTTTGGTTTGCATCATGAAAAACAAAACATATGGAAATATATCTTCCTTGACCTTCCTTGTCCTTAAATAATTTTTCTCTGTTTCTCACAAAGTCAGAATTGAAAGTCAAACCACTTTATTTGAGAATTGACTGAAAAACTATCAAATAAAATGCATCTGTATGTTTTATTAGGACTCATTTCAGTTCAAACCTGTATATTAATTAAAGCTTTGAATATTTTTCTCTTTATTAGTGGAAAAAAAAGTATGTTACATTTGTTGCACCCCAGCCCAGGGGAAACCGGTGTGCGACACAAGGAAATTTAAAAAAAAAAAAAAAAGGAAAATGCCCCCACACTCCCTGCTCTCAAGGAAGACGAACCAAAAACTGCCACAGATTTACAACATCCAGTCAGTTTATTAAGTCCCAAAAGGTAGCGGGCGTCAGGGTGAGGATGACCAAAACAACAAACAAAACTCTCTAGAAATAAAGTGCAACTGGCTTACCTACACGGAAAAACCCCCAAAAGAAAATACAGGTTTCTTACCTGCCTCCCTAACCAAAAACAGGAGAAAAGGCTCCAAAACAAAATGGCTTCTCACAACAAAACTATTTACAACACAGCAAAAGCTTCTCATTCCAGAATTCATACTCATACAGATTCATACGCAGCCACATGCACAGTTCGTTGGGAACAGGAAGTATGTTGGGAACAGGAAGTAGGCAGGGGGCGTGCCGGTTCAGAAGGGTCCTCATTTATAGCCGGCATCTCCCAGTCCTCCACCAATGGTCAGCCTCCACCAGGAACTCACATAACATCAATAACACAGGACACAAACTATGCCACCCTCTGGTGTGGCAGACAAAAACAGTGCAAAACCCTGAATCATAACACACTTTAGCTGGCCTTTCCTTTTTAATGTTTGGCTTTATTATATATTGCATTTAAATTACATGATCATTACGCTCTTGTGTTACCCTACTCTTCCCTTTTCTGTGTGTATTTTTTTTTTCATATGAGTTCCTTTAGATGTCCAGTACTAACCAAAAATCTTGGAACACCTTTCTTTATGTTTTGCTTGCAAAATGGGAAATGGATGCATTATATACGGCAAAAACAGAGTTTGTGAAATTCTAACAAAGACCCAAATGCCATGTTGCAGTACTATACTGCTATGGTAGCCAATGTTTCAAATGCAGGTTTGACAGGTTTGTGAATGTACACTTTATCCAAAACCTGGTGACGGTTTACTCATCTTTGCCAGTCGGTGGCTGTAGCTCAGGTGGTAGAGCAGGTCACCTACTTATCGGAAGGTTAGTGGTTCAATCCCTGGCTCATCCCTCATCCCCATCCCCACTCCTTGGGTGGGAGCGGCTTGTACCCGGCCGGGGCCTGTGCCTGTTCTTGCTGAGCAACCACTGGTGGGACCCACAGCAGTCTGTTAACACACAGTGAGTGAGAAAGTGACTAGAAAGGAAAATCTTCATCACTTGTGTGGAAACACTTTGGAAAGCTGTGCTTCTTCTTCTCCCACCTTCACCTTCGCTGTCATCCTGAAAGTGAACTGAGCCCAGTTAGCAAAGTGTTCTCAGGTGAGCTGTTTTGTGAGAAGGTGAATACAGTGGTCCCATGCAGTTCACCTTTCGTGCCATCGCTTTTTTTGTGCAATTTTGCATGCTTTTTGTTGTGTTTTTTTTGTTTGTTTGTTTTTACAGCGCATTGTGTTCTGCATCCTGATTGGCTGTAGAGCATTGTCAATCAGTCTCGTGCCGTGTCTCCTGTACAGTACAGAGTGCGTTCAGCTTGTCAAATTTACATAAATCTTCGCTCGCTAGCAGTGTGACTCTGAAGTGTTGCACTGTATGTTTGTAAGTTTTCTCCCCAACGAAAACAACAATGTTGATGAAACGTTTTGCACTGTCAAAGGCATCTGTGGGTGCATTTGGTTTCATTCTACTTGGTCGCCCTTTGTCTGATACTCACTGTGTCTGTCTTAGCCTTTCTGTGTGTAATCTCAGAGCTCCAGTAGCTCTGTTCATAAAGAATAGCCTAACCAAAAAGTACAATCTCACTCATCGCTGTTTTTCACACAGAAAATGCCGCCATGGCCACTGGCCACAAGGCAGAGAAGTTTTAAGAATAGCATGCACTGTAAAATCTTGGACAAATCAAATATGCGGATCATAATCACGGACATTTTTACACTGGATCAGTTAAGACCAGGGTTGACAGAGACCATCTCCAGTTAGCCACAAGGGTGCTGATGAAAACCCTCTACTGTTGGCCAAAGATAAAGAGAGTGAGGGAAGGTATGTTAAAAAGGAAATATAGGAATGTGGAGGTGAGCGTAGGGACTTTAAATGTAGGGATTATGACTGCTATAGTGGTGGTCAGCAGGGCACTCTTCCGGAGTGGCACAAATTTCCATGTCATGCCATTTTTTATGTTCATGGAATTTTGGCTGTGCTGAATGAATATAGTTCATATTTGCCAGATATTGTAATTTTTTTTTTTTTTAAAAAAATAGATTTTTTGTCTCAATTTCAGAAATTAGCTTCAAATGGCTAAGCTACAGAAAAGCCGCCACATTTTATCCTAAAATGTCCAAAAGGCCAAAAAAGGCCCAAATGAAAATCCTTAAAAATGACATTTTTGATCCCACATTTAATAGCAAGATTTTATTTTGGACTACTCACCTTAAAGTTTGAGTTTTTATATTTGGCCACCAGGTGGTGCTACCGTTCAGAGCATGAAGCAAAATGTAACACTTTTTTCCACAAGAGTGCCATGCTACTAAAATAAGTGTGTTTTGCTATTGATGGGGGATAATGGTGTGAGAGAGAAGAAACAATGAGAATCAGCTTCAACAACTGCTGAAAAAAACACAGCAGAGAAACCAAGGCAACAACCAAAATATGAATTAATAACAGTAAATAATAAATAATAAACATTACTGAATAGCACTAGGTACTAATAATACAAGATAGTGAGTGATAGTGATCGTGTTTGTGTGTACCTGTTTGTATACCTGTCCGTGTGAGCACGCTTTTATTCATAAGGTTTCTCCATGTAAGCGTCTAGTGTGGGAAGCCAAAGCCCTGCCCCCCAGGACATGAAGCCAACAGACCCAGGGGCCAGTTCAGCAGACAGAACTGGACCCTGGGTCTGTTGGCAGACAGAAATGAATGCAGTAGACACACTGACACTCCCCCATACATACTTTATACTCCCAGGTCCAGGCACCAGCACCCCCAGAGAGGCAATCCACCCAGAGAGGCAATCCACCCCGAGAGGCAGGAGATGGTCCTCTTCACTCTGGAGTGAAAATAAGTAGACCAGGCAGTCCTGCAGCAGCAGGGAAGCCCAACCTGCTGCTGCAGGAATGACCAGCTCTTCCTCCTGGCCCCCTGCCCCATATGGCGAACAGAGAATGGGAGTGTGAAGACCCCATACCTCTTTCCACCCACTCATATGTGGTGTTGCTGAGTGCTGTTCTAAAGTGTATCTAAGACATGGGAGGGGTGTGGTGCCAACAGCCCAGATAACAGCAGGTGTCAGCACAGCCCCTCCCGAAAACACTCAGTGTCTACATGGATTTAAAATTAAGAGGTGGGCATCAGCACCAGAGGTGAGGCTGAATGAACATTTCGTCCCCTGGATGCCGTTTAGTGTCCCCACCCCCAAGTCCCTATATGTTTCATGAGAGTGTGAGTAATGTGAGTGTCTAAGTTGTGGAATAATACTGAGGCACAGGTGACCAGCAGACATAAGAGATCACTGAGACACTGAGAATAAATACTTGGTTCTTGGCAAAAATAAAAATAAAAATATTACTACATCGTTTTTTTTATAGCAGTTGCAGGGATGGGAGCATTTTTTTGTCCCACGGGAAAAAAGAGACAGGATTTTAAATGGGTTATTTTTATATTTATTTTCACTGAGCTCTATGAAGTACACACTCCGTGGTCTTCCAAGTCATGTCGAAACTTGTATATGAATGCAGCTGCCTTCCCCTGGCTCCCCCCTGTCAAACATGATGGTGATTTCACATGGCCCAGTCTCATTGTGACACCGACTCATCTTCACTGCATTATACAACTAAGTTCACACGTCTCCGGCATTTTCTTTCATCTCCTCTATTATAATTTCCAGAGTAAAACAATCACCTTCATCATGAAACACAGCTCCGTATTTCTGTATGACAGCAGTCTGTATGTTTTTGTTATTGGTATTTATATAAACAAGTTATATATGTGAGAATATTGTGTCATAAAACAAAACTGGTACAGCAACATGTTTTATATGTGAAGGATTATATGGCTACAGAGTAAGACAATATGAAGTCTTCCATTCAGTAGGGTCAGTTTGACACTGAGCAGTAGCAGAATCTTAAGAATTGCATTGCACAGAACAGCACAGAGAGATTTGCATTGGGAAATTAAATCAGGATGTTGCTGTTGACAGTAAAAGACAAAGGAAAAAAATATGCAAACTGTTAGAGGATGTGACTCAGCACTGAAGGATGATGGTTGCTAAAGGTAAGGACTCTTTAAGAACAAGGAGATGTGTTTGTTTAACACAACTCGATGCTCAGTTATGATGAGTCCAGTGAGGTGTATACTTGCAAGACAGTTCAGGGGGAGAGTGAAATAAACTGGAATACAAAAGAATTCATTCTAAGCATTATTAGCTTAACTTAAGGGTTGTTGTTTGTTT